ATATAAAATAAATAAATATAAAATATATAATTGCAAACCTCTGTAAAATTCTTCTAATTAAAGATATATGTAATTATTGCAACAAATCAAAATAATTTGATGATTAATTTAAAAAAATTAATTTAAGAAAATTAAGTATTTATTTGATACAAATATTTTTTTCGGAGATCAAATATTTATTATGAAATATAGCTTGTGTCCGTTCTTTAAGACTCATATATTTTTTAATTCGAAGAATTCATCATTGAAAAGGGGATAGCCGAGCTCTTGGGGGAGGAATACCCTGTATAAACTCATATATCTCGCCCTTCCATCGCATAATCCCAGAATGGTTTTCAACCCGGCGGAATCGTAAACCTCCGTCGTAATAACAATTTTGATTCCGCCCCGGCCGTATTGTCGCTTAAAAAAAAAAAAGAAAAAAGAAAAAAGAAAAAAGAAAAATTCAAATATTCCAATATCTCGAATTTAATCAACACCGGTTTATAAAATTGCAAAAAAATTTACAAACGCTAATTTAATTCAGTCGAGACTCGATTCAATAACATATCTTTTATGTATACTATGAGTGAATCATAGATAAAAGCTCAAAATATCGATACGGTTAGTTTGCAACTGGGAAAAAATAGAAGGGAAGACTCTAAATAACAACAATCTCGTTTCTATTTTCATTTTTACGATTCTATGACACATTGCTTCGTGAAATATGATTGCTGAATACTCCGTATATTTCGTTCTTCTTTTATGTATTTCTTATTGCGAAATAAAAGAAATGGAGAGCATCGGATAAGAATGAAAGAGGACTTTCATTTTACGATTGTAATCTCTTGACTAGAAAAGAGAAGCTGCTCTTCGAGAAACGGTGATCTCCACGCCGTAATTCATTGAAGAAATGAGAAGTTATTGCCGTACTTTTCTTAAATTGTAATTTTTACGGACAATTTAGCGATTAAGGAGCGCAAATAAAGTGTTACTTTGAAGCGCATCCGACATAGAACATAGGTCAATGAAACGTTGATGGCTCACTATTATTCACCGATATGGACATGCATTAAACCCGTTTTAATAATTATATTGCGTTTAATCGTGTGGTTTCACGACCGCCATCTGTCTCTCGCTCTCTCTGTTCTCTTTTTTTTATATTATAATAAAATAAAAAGATGATTTTTATATATCTACTATTAAAATCTTTATATATACATAATATAAAAATTAAACTAAAAAATTATATATGGAAATCTTTCCGTAATATCAAGTTTTTGAACGAGCTTCCTGCCATATTTGAATGCTGTTCGGGAATGAATATTATAAATGAACGGGCATAAAATTTGTATTAAATGCACCTAGATGAACGCAGACACAATTAACATGACACGTCCATCAAACGAATGCTTCAATAAATTGCAGAGATAACTTTGTTACGTTTCCAAGTGATCAAGCGGGATTCATTGCCTACACTTGACATAACATGCCGCGCAATGAAATGCCGTGCACGCACAAACATTACTATTATATGAGATATGTTATAACGAAGACCTAGTAATGCGCGAAGTAGAATGGGCATGCTTGATGAGTGTTATTACGATCTACGAAGCCGGCCATAATTATTGATGGCTCCAGTGTAATCATACCGTAACACGCGCGTTTGATTACAGCATCAGGTTTACCTAGTATAAGTATAGGTGAACAGACTGAATTATTCGTTGTTTATCGATGCCCATAATAATCGAAATTTAGTTTCCATTATAGGTAGTAGAGAGGTGTGTTATATATATCGTATAATTAAACGATATAAAACCTTGATGTAGTAGAATTGAATGTTTTTTATATTTTGCTGAAAAGTCTAAGCAAGCTGCAGATGCAATTAATATTATATTTTTTTATTAATACGTATGTGTGTCATGATTTTAATTTAACGAAAGAACCATTCAAAGATGACAATGGTAGGTATTGTCCTTTTACCTCTCCTGCAGACGACACAAATGGATGTAATACACGCGCACACAAGCGTGTACCGTCGCGTGAAAACACAATGGAGGAGTCCACCAATGCTCCGTGCTATTGAGAGTGATTCGTAAACACGGGTATAGTAGACTGTGTACAATGGTGGACTTCAACAATCTCGCTGAGTTACGTGGTCATGGTAGAGGAAAGGGAGAAGGCATAATCGAATCTCTCTATATTGCAAAAGGAGACGGGTAAATCCCGAGTAACTTGCTTCAATCAAAATTCACTGCGGTTCGTACAAAGCATTTCCTTGCAATGCGAGTGTCATTGTTAATATGAATTTCACTTCTTTTATGCATAAGCTGTCTATTATTGACGCACGCGATATAACACATTGAATGAAAAATATTATGTTCCATCAAAAATTATAAGATATGGTATGTGTGAGAAAAGATATTTGTATTTACGTAATATATAATATTTCGTAACGCGTTTGTGTTTTTAAAATCGCGAATCAATTTCGACTTTCGCTTCAAGTATCCGCGACATTAATAATCAATGCCGGGAATATATAGAATGTATAGTGTTCTTACCTTACGCAATTAGACGGGATTCATAACTGCTATATGGTGCGCGAACGAATGAGAATTGGCTACAGGTGGTCCTGGGTAAATCAATATGTGTGCATGTGTTGAGTGAATATACGTGAATATACTCTCGAAGTTCGTCCCCGAGACGGACGAGCTTACGATTTCGGCGATGACAGGCGACAATAGCGCGATATGGCGAAAATACTTGTGCTTCGCATCATTGTTTGTAGGAATAAACTTCATGTTTTTTTTATTGAGATGCGCGCAAAATATAGATATGTTTCGAAACGCCTTTTGCGATAGCATTTATAGCAGTCTTGGGATACTCTCAAGGATAAATTGGGAAACTATGTAAGATGGATTTCTAGATGGAAGAGAGTACTCACCCAGACAGGAAACTCGGGACGGGACAGCAAATAAGATAAAGGTGTGATTTCAAACGATGTGCGGAAATTGAACTGAAATAAGGAGAAGAACGAGCTTTAGAAAAGGAAAAAGAAAAAAGAACGAAAAATCTCTCTTCATTAGAAAAACAATTAAATTACAAAAAATTTTTAGTAACATCTGTGCATACCATATAGAAAAATGAAAATATATAATCTGCATATAACATATAATCTAATAATACTATATTGATAGATATCGAAGAGAATGAGAATTAAATTTATATATATATACATATTTCTTAAAGGTACAAATACTGTTGTACTTGTTTCGTTAACATAATAAATGGTAGGAAAGATTAACACAAATAATAATAAATCGAATGAACGATTAATTATTTATTAATCGTCAATCTGTGTGATTACCTATTTCGTATTATTCCTCATCGTCACTGTACTCCTCATCTCCTATGAGTTCTTGTGGGAAGCCAATAGCACACAAGTCTTGCAGTGATAGATGGTGGACATAAGGCGCCAGGTTAAACAATTTATAATTGCCGATGCAATCCACTATCCAACCGTCAGAAATCGGTGCTGCTTTGGCAGTCCGATACCAATGTTCTATCACAAAAATTAAAACGCAAATATATTTTATTTATTTATTATTTTCGTATTATTTTCGAAATAGACATGAAAGGCATATATATAAATAAATAAATAAATAAATAAATATATATATATATATATATATATATATATATATATATATATACAATAATAGCAGACGATAATAAGACTGCTTTCTTTTGCATGTGCATCTGTCTTTATTTTTATTTTGTTTACTTAATTCGCTATCTCTTCTTCTCTCTTTCTTTTTCTCTTTCTCTTTTTTTTTTTCAAGAGAGAATCTGACAAATGTGAGCGTTTTTATATGCGCGTTGCACGTTATAATCGGACGGTAAAGACAAGTCATGAATCTTATCGCGTATTACCGTTAAACCAGGTATAATCAATTTAATTGTCTGTATAATGGGAAATGTCCTATATATTTATTTATTTATATCAACACAGACATATCGTGTATATATATTATTGAACTTTCTAAATTATCTTCAAGAATTCATTACCGTATATACACACGTCGTATTTATCTACAACAATTACTTACCGATTTCCTTATCAACATGAACACTGTCTTGGATCACAATGCCTTTCATGCCTTCCTTTTCAGCCAAAGCTTCGAGGGAATCTACTACTGTGGCTCCAGTGGCGAGTAACAAGTTCTGAAAACCAAAGGTATTTTTAAACCATGGGTTTGGCCAGAGTCCAACTTCAAATGATACGGTGGCGACTGAACGCGCAGGAATCGTAAATAAAAATCTTTCCGGTCCAGCGACACGTACAACGAATTGGTTTTAATTACTGAAGAAGTCTTATCACGTTTTTGACAGAGATTAATAAGGTTCATGACAAGAAAAATAATTTTCCAAGAAAAGTCTAATAAGAGATGAAAGATTTGCGACATGACTTACGTTTTTCATTGCGGAAATTAGATAAAGCCAAAGACTGACCTGATACTGATTCAGCGAAACATTCAAGTACGGTCCGACGCACCAAAATGTAAAATCTTCGAAAAGATCCTTCTTGCGTAGCCTCGATCTTTGAGGACCGTCATCGATAATACCGTCGGTGAACGTCGTGGCTTCGTAAGGGGTTTCGTCCAGCAGTTTTTCTTGTTCGATACAATCCTCAATCCATCTGTAGCTGACTATCCATTTTCGATGAGCGATGCCCTGAAGAAATTTCAACGTGCTTTTCGCTGCATTCTTCTCGCCTGTGGTGTTCACGATAACGTGCGTTACGCTGGACTCGAACTGATTCACATAATCTAGATTATGTTTCGTCGCGAACTTTTTCACAGTTGCTAATTGAGTCGCCATCAAGCCGCTACATATGAAACACAGTTGTGGCTTATCAGATTGCTGGCGGATGTTCTTCAGTTTATTCGTCGTGGAACTTTGTGGTGTACTTTGATAAAGCGGATATATTTCCAACAGTTTCACAGGCGTACTCGCGCCACTCTTCAAAGCAGTTTTTTTCTTCGATATGCTCGGTATCTGCTCGGCGGGTGATATGTGTGGTTTCGAAATCGGCGATAAATATGATATATTTTTTCTCAACTCGAGTGGTTTGATGTTATTTCCACTGCTGTAACATTATAACAATGTACTTTGCTAAATTAACAAGTTAAAAATCAATCATTCAGAACTGCCCTTTCCGATTTTCTAAAGAGAATATATATCGTTAGATATGTGTATTTTATTTAATTATATATATTTTAGTATGTTATCTGCAAAAGTCTCCCTTATATTGAATATTGATTGATTATTGTTTAAATCATATATACATGCATATGTAACACATTCTTTATATATAATTAATAGTTTTTCAATCTTCGTATATTACTACATATTTTATATCTCTTTTTATTTCTATCTTCTATTTTTAATTGCATATGTATCACATTTTCATTGATATTTTGCAATATTATATTCTAAGCTACAAAATAAAAGAAGAGCAGTTCTGATCATATCAGTGTGAATCGTGCAATAATATATATTTATATACAGACATATTGCAATTAGCAAAAAGCGTAGACATGAGCACAAAGAGCGTACGATATGAGAAGAACTTAAAATACTTACTTCTTCATCTTCCTCTCGGGAGTTTTCTCGACAACATCGTCTTCGTCAGCAGAGAGTATCTACGTTTAAAAATGCTCTTGTTATATTAACCGAATAGCTTTGATGCCGCAATTACAAATATGTATCCATAATTCTATTATAAATAAACAACGAAAACAAACCAAATACTAAATATTGAAAAAGATCAAAAATAGTGCGCTTTGTAGTGCAAGCTCGTAAAAGGGGAGATAAAAAAAATATATGTGTAAAACAGTTAATATTTCATAACACACACGTTTTCTCTACTATTTCTATGTAATGTACTATGTGCATAACTGAGATACAAAACATGTACATATAAACATACGTAAAATACTAGATCATAAAAAGAATTATGAAATTATTGTGATACAAAAAGAAAAGGAAAATTAAGTGTTTAAAAATGATGTATATTAGTATTAATAGTGCATTAGTAATATTACGGATAATGATTAATCGTACACGAATTATAATTATTTCGACAAAATAAAGTTTCCTGAAAATATAGGGAAATTTATTCGCGGCGTGTCTTATCAAATCCGCAGTAATTATTTGTGATTATGATTTTGTAACATGAAGAGAGATATTAGACGAATTGTATACTTGCAAATATGAATTCAATTCGTTATAACTATAAATTTTATAGTTATTTTCCTCTATAAAAAATTTCGATATCTAATAAAAATATATTTCTTGGAATAACAAAAGAGCATAAAAAGAAACGTGCATTAATATGCTATTTAATTAAAAAAATGGATGAACAAGATTGCATAAATATGTGTACACTGACCTCTACCGTAGCCTTCTTATCTTGAGTATCTTTTTTCCGCTTTTCGGGAGTGTGCTGCTCCTCCTGGGTCGAATCCTTCTGCAAAGCAATCTTCGTCGTTTTCCTTTGATTCTGATTAGCCGGGATACCAAGTAGTTCTTCTTCAAATTTTTGCATTTGATCTTGATGCTGCGTAACGTTCATGAGCGAATCGAACAAATTGTCCGTTGTCAAATTTAACTCGTCGCCAGCGACTATTGGTCTTTGCATTGTGCCATCATCGACGTGAGATCGATTCGTCGATTGTATCGAAACATTAATATGTTGCGCGAGAGAGGAAGATTCTTCGAAGAACTTTTCTCTCTCCTGCGACACATTATGCTTTGACGTAATCCTTCTACAAGGATTTTCTTCAATTGTATCGGCATTTGCCGTTACATTTCTCTTTTCTCTTCGATCAACGGTACAGTCATGTTTCTTTTGGCCGTGAGATACAATATTTTCTTTGCCAAAATTTTCTGAAGTAACAGGAGTCGCGGTACTTCTAATGTTTTTGGAAGGGCAGTGTTCGAAAATATCATGGGTAGACAACGCACTTAACGTTGGTGTCTCCTGCGCGGCGCCATATGGTTCATCTGTCATCGCGAGACAGTTCGATATCCTCTGTTTCGCCAACGGGCAAGATTTGAGATTGCGGCTGATCGCTTGGTTAGTACAAGGTATCGTATCCTCGCTGCTTTGTGGCAGCTCGACGTTGGCGATGATCTCGTCAAAATTATCCTGCAGCAAATACTCTTTGCTGTTTTTTTCTCTCTGACTCATCCCATTGTTCCACAGGGTAGAATCCAACGGTCGACACGCATCGGTATTGCTCTGTAATCGATCGATCTGCAGTACTTTATTTATAATATCGTCATTAGAGGCTTCTGCGATTTCTTCCGATATTTTGCTTTCGTTGTACCCTGTTGATTGTTGTAGTATATAATCTACATTTTCCGAATTGAATATACTACTGCTTTCAAACATATCCGATTCTCGCATTGTCAAGCTTTTTTGATTCGCCGGTCGATGACTCATCAATTTTTTTTCAGACGGTAATCTTATTGACAAACATTTTTGCTTAGGCGCGTCCGTAATCGATGCGTTCCGTTGATCAGATTGATCGTCGACCCTGGGTCTTTAAAGAGAAGAACCACGATGTAAATAAGAGAAATATATTATATATATATTGTCTCACACACAATTATATACAAGAATTCTTTTCCGAGATTAAATGTGCAGTACTATTTTTTGCTTTGTCGCATTACATTGTTTTGCAGTAATGGTAGCGCGTAGTAGTAATCACTCGAAGTAGTTTAGTATGCAGTAGAAAAAGATATTAAAAAAAACATTTAATTTCGGAAAAATAATATTCGTTAACTATATGCATACAGATAGAGATGCAGATGAAAGTTATAACATATAAGAATTATAATACGATATTTATGATTATATAGATGAAAACATGCTTAAGACAAAAATACAAATTAAAAAATAAAATTATTAACAGCATGAAAGATTAGAACAGAACATAAATGTTCGATGATATATATTGGCTCATATAAAATTATTATATAATTTCATTTCTAGTACCTTTTGCAATTTCTCGTAACATGCTCCGTTGATTCCGATTCCGTGTCTGAGCTAGATATTGATAGTATCCTCCTGAATTTTCTCGTACATGTATCCTGTTTCTTAGAATTCGAAGAGATTATTTCGATTACGTTTTGATCGTCCGGGGAACTCGAATGGTATTTTTTACTCGTATCTAAACCCGATCCTACGTTTTTGGATGATCTGCTATATCTGCCAAGTTTTATCCTGCGTCGACCACTGTCACTGGCTGAGTCGCTAGAATTGTCGTTTCTATCGTCGTCGAACAGCTCTTTGTCACTAGTATCTCTCATTCTTTTCCTCTTCTTATTGGAGTTTTCGATGGAAGGCTCTTGCGCTTTACTCGTAGACGCTGCGAAGTGCGAATTTTTCATCTTAGAAAAGTTATTTTCTTTGGTATGAACGAGCTTCTCGAGTTCGGATTGCTGCCACGACGAATTCGCGCGTTTAGATTTTCCGTGATCGCTCATTGGGGAGTCTATCGTCAGAAACTTCAGCTGCGAATCTTTGTCCGGTGACAGCAGCTTAATGGAATCCAACGTTTCTGAATGAACACGCGAGCTTTTCTGAATCGCGGAGCTGTTTGCACGAGGCGTCTTATGAAGAGATTGCGCATTTTCCTCGATCGTCGCAGTCTTCTTTCGATTTAAATGATGATCGATATCTTTCTTTGGCATCGAAGTCGCTGAAACTTTAGGGGATTCCGTGGAAAGTTCGATATCTTTCGAAACATCTCGAGTTACGGAACGAATATTCTCTATCGCAGTGATGTCCATCATATCTTGCGGCTCGTTTGATCGATCAGAGGATCTCGCCAAGTTGTATGACATATTCGTAATATATTGCTCCATCCCGAATTTGCTGAGCGATTGCTGCATATTATACACTGGTGTGATTTGCACTTGCGCTGGTATCGATTGTTCGCGTTTAATCGCGCTTGAATAAAAGTATTTCACGTTACGTCGCCTAATCATTGTGCCTATTTGAAGAAATTTTACGAGACATCCTTGATTCTTAATATTTTCCGATTTTTTTGATGTTGTAGGATGACTGACGAGTTTTTCATCTTGACAAATAATTCTAGAAACATTTTCATCCGTTATCCTTTTTAGAAGCGCACCGCCAAGTATCGTATCCCGATTAGTCTGTAGTTGATCTTCACCAATTATCTCCAAATTCAAGTCGCGTCTTATAGCTGTCAGTCGATCAAATAATTTTCCATTTTTCGATACCGGCGAATCGATGTTTTTACGATTATATATGTCTTTTTCGATACTCGACAATTTGTCAATCAATGGAACTTGATTTAATAGTGGCGAGTTAGTTTTCTTGTTATCGCCAATTCCTGGTTTTCTTTTCAAGGATAATCTAGCCTTTGATATTGGAGTTTGCGGGGATTGAGAAAAAGCAACTTCTCCCAATGTCCTTTGAGTACTGTTATTCCTTTCAGGTTCGGGAGTTCGATTAAAATTTTACGAGACATCCTTGATTCTTAATATTTTCCGATTTTTTTGATGTTGTAGGATGACTGACGAGTTTTTCATCTTGACAAATAATTCTAGAAACATTTTCATCCGTTATCCTTTTTAGAAGCGCACCGCCAAGTATCGTATCCCGATTAGTCTGTAGTTGATCTTCACCAATTATCTCCAAATTCAAGTCGCGTCTTATAGCTGTCAGTCGATCAAATAATTTTCCATTTTTCGATACCGGCGAATCGATGTTTTTACGATTATATATGTCTTTTTCGATACTCGACAATTTGTCAATCAATGGAACTTGATTTAATAGTGGCGAGTTAGTTTTCTTGTTATCGCCAATTCCTGGTTTTCTTTTCAAGGATAATCTAGCCTTTGATATTGGAGTTTGCGGGGATTGAGAAAAAGCAACTTCTCCCAATGTCCTTTGAGTACTGTTATTCCTTTCAGGTTCGGGAGTTCGATTTTCGGCTGGCGACGAATTTCCAAAGTTTCTGGCAGGAGTTTGTGCGATGTCGCGCATTATTTCATGTTCGCGTAAAGATTCGTTGAACTTCTCGGGCGTTAATACAGTTAATCTTTTCGGTGACGACAGTAACGAGTTACAATGTTCTGTGGCAATCTCTACATTTTCTTCACGATATCGATTTTGAGAAACTCGAGAATTCTTACTGATGTTTTCGGAGCCGATAATTTCATTCACTTGACTGTTGGTCAGATTTATGATAGATATTTGTTTATTTTCTGCCTCCAGCGTTACATGCAACGTTTTTATCGAAGGATGATTAATTGGTGATAATGCCGAGCTATTGGCTGTGTCCTTTGTAGATTCTTTCCAATTGTGAATATGCGCTTCACTCGATGCTTCTAACGGCATCACTTCTGCATTCGATGAATCCAGATTCTTATCGATCGCGTCTTGTTTCTGACTGTTCTCTTCTTTTCTGCTCATGTTATGATCCGTCGCAATTCTAGCCAGATCGTATTTTTTACTCGGCGATAACGCAATATTTTCAATTATTCGAAGTGAGTCTTTATTCTTCTCAGTACTTACATTCAGCTTCTTCATCTTTCTTTTTTTACCGCGTTTCGTCTCTTTCCCGAATTTGATTATGCGAGTCCAGTCCGCGGAAGAAGATTGCGCGGCAGATGCGCTCGTTGCGCTCGAGTTCGAGTCATTGATCACCACGATCTGATGCGTTTGATCGCTCGCTGTTGTCGATGATGAATTGTTTCGATTATTTGTCTTCTCGACGTTAGATTTTGACGCATCTTCCTTAGAATTTTTTGTGCGTATTCTAGCATGAATAGCTTTATATTTCAATTCTTCCGTTGCAGCGGAATCGGTCTTTATTACTTTGTCGAATTGCTTCGCTTCTGTGTCTTTGCTTATCCGGGACGTATTTGTATCCTCATCGACATAGTCTCTATGATTAATCTGTTTTCTATAGCGACTTGTTCTGTTGCTCTTGTTATACTTATTGTCATGTATTTCGTCTGTTACATTGAATTTATTATCGTTATCGGATATTAAATTGGCGTTGCTTTCTATAGAACTCTCCCCATCGGGGAGATGGTACAACCACGTGCGAACTTTGATATCAGGCCTGCTGAAAATCGCGTTGTCATTCTCATTGGCGGGAAAGAAATGATCAGGTTTTGATATATTACTTTCTTTTGTATCGCGCGGTTTCGAGTGCGACAATACTGAAACAGATATTATCGAAGCGCAGATCAGAAAAGCGTCCCATATTGTTTGCTGATCTTGCTAAATAAATATAATCTTATATTTAACATTATAAAAAAATGGATCAATTTTAGCGCCCAATCATTTTTATTATTCTTAAACAATTATAGCTGGATTGTATTACGATCGATATTCCGCGGTGATCTCTACATTTTTTATCCTTTTTTTCTTTTTTAATAAAGACGTAAAAATATTCTCCGCGAGGAGTTGAATGATGTCGGAAAGATACGTGATACTCAAACTCCAAGGCATTATAAAACATTGAGTTTTTTCTAAATGTACAGTGTGTGCGTGGATCGAGACACCTTAGAGTATCGAGAATTAAATTTTTCAAGCCTCCTCTGCGCACCATAAAGAACATTGTGCTGACCTTGCTTAATTTATTTTTATGGCAGTACATTTATTGTGTTTTCTGTGTTTTTAACTTTCGTTCATAACTAAATAAAACAATAGCAAATTTCTCATGTGTCAATAGCTAGCGCAAAAATTGTGATCATTAACAAAAGCATGCAGCAATGAATCTCAATAACATTCTAGTGAAACGCAAGAGCCATTTCCTAGCTGTATTTATCTTTACGTTCCTTTACATTATACTTTGAGTAAGATTAATTAACAGTAATCTAAATGAAAATATTTATTTATATCGCATTGATTTGGACATGAATTGAAAATTGACCAAAAAAATGTAAATTTCTGCAATATACTCACTGTCTATATTGCAATCAAGTTGGATGGCAGTGACAAGATTTGTAAACTTTGTAATACAGGCTTCTAAGTGATCATCTTTTGAAACATTGCGTCTGTTAAGGTTTTTTTTGCACAGTGGACAAGATGCAGCTTTCTTCCGCAACACTTTCCCTATGCACAACTTACAAAATGAATGGCCGCATCGTGTCTTTGTAGGTTCTGTCATAAACTGTAAACTAAAATAATATGAAATTGTGATATTATTTATAAATTCTGAAATTAATCCAAGTTCTGTTCATGTAAAGAATTATTACTTTGATTATATATATGTATGTATTATATGTATATATGGGTGTGTATATATATGTATGCATACATATGTATATATGAAATATAATTAAATAGATATTTAAACTATATAAAAATA